TGTGGATTTTGGAAGCTCAGGATTTTGGCTATAAATATCCCTTTTTTTCAGACTGGGGTTTCCTTTAGTGGGTGATGAAGGAATTCTTTTGAGATGATGAGTGGATTCTATTTTCACCCTCTTGTCCTAATAGATCTAGACAGTTTTCTTTTATGATTTCTTGAAATATGATATGCAGAATTTTTTGTCTGGTCAAGGTTTTCGGGGAGTTTGAAGATTCTTAATCTTTCCTTGACTTTTTACCAGATCCGTTGTTTTTGGTTTGTTTTTTTAAATATTTTACATATTTTTCTATTGTTTTAGTCTTTGGACTTTGTTCTTATATTTCTTGTCTTGTAAAATTATTGAGTTCTATTTGTTCAATGCTATTTATCAGGGAGTTCACTATTTGGGTCATGTTTTCTACCTCCTATATATTTTCCTTCTAAAATTTTCATCATGAGCTACCATTTCATTTTTATATCATTTGGTTTCTTCCACATATTCTTGGTGTCCTTGTCACTTAGGCATTTTTTACCTGAGGGTCCACTTGTATTTATTATGGAGTTATTTTTTCCATATTTATCCCTTGGGCTTCTCTTAACCCATAGTATTTCTTCATTGCATTTGGAAAACCGTTTTCTTATGTTCACTCATATCTACAGCCTTATTTCCCAAACTAGCACTTTTTTCCCAGGGCCAGGGTCTACCCTCTTATGAACTCTGGAAGTAGGGGAGGAGGTCCTGACTAATCCCATCACTTATTCAGTTTGAATGCTGCTGCCACTATTTATGGAAGAGATAGCTGAACTAACCCTGAACTAACTTTTCTGTTTCCTGGTGGCCCAATGTAGGTGCTGGTCTTGGCCTGTGTCTTTCTCTTCTTACATAATAACCATCTCCTCTTACTCTGACAGGTGCCAAATAGATGTCAGAGATGGAACTGGCCTCAAGGCTCTGGGAGAACCTTTTGGATTCTATACCTTCATAAAATACTTGGATGCTATACCTTTACTTGGCTAACACCCATTGGGAGCTATCTCTGCTCTCTCTGTTGCTGAGGAAGCAGAGCTGTTGGGCTGGACCCTCCTTGGGTCTTTGATTTGCCCCTAAGGGAAGGCAACAGGAACCTAAAGGATCACTTCCTGCTGCCATCCCTTAGCTTGGTCCTAGGAAGAGAATCAGAGCCTGGAAGCTCTGTTCCTTCCTTGGCCCTTTTGCATATGGCCTGAAGTAGGCCTTTAAGACTTTCCATCCCGAGCTATTCCCAGTACTTAACCAAAAATGCCATAGGTAGGTTAATTTCTTTATCCATCCATGTGTGCATTTCTATAAAATTCTATCATTCCTATAAAATGTCTTGTGGACAAAATTGGTACGGCACCAACTCAGCATTTAAACCAAACAATAATTTTCAAAGTTTAATAGGATTGTTAGTGAGACAGGATGGCCTGGTAGATAGCTTTGAAACTAGGAAGACTTGGGGTCAAGTCCTGCCTCTGATACAGAACCATGTGATGTTAGTCAACTCAACTCTCCATATTTTGGACAACTTCCTAGGGCTGTAAGTTGCAGAACAGGTACCTATTCACATTGGTTGAGGAAATTTACTCAGTGCAGTTCCTTATACCCATGGAACTGCACATCAGATTGGCAAAGACAACCAAAAAATAATGATAAAACGACTGGAAAAAATGTTGTAGGGACTTGGGAAAACAGGTACATTGATGCCCTATTGATAGAACTGTGAACAGGTCCAATCTTTCTGGAAAGCAATTTGGAATCACATACAAAAAGTTAAACAATGCTTGCCTTTTGACCCAGCCACATCACTATTGACCTATACCCCAAAGAGATCAAAGAAAGAGGAAGAGATCCTATCTGTACAAAAATATTTATAACAGGTCTTTTTGTAGTTATGAAACTGGAAACTAAAGGAAGGCCCATCAATTGCGGAATAGATGAACAAATTGTGCCGTAAGAATATGATGGAATAAACTACTAAAAGAAATGAGGAAATACATGATTTCAAAAAGAAATGGAAAAACCTGTATGAACTAATGCAGAGTGAAGTATGCAGAAATAGAAAAATAATTTATACTGTAACACCAATATTATAAAAATGAACAATTTTGAAGACATATAAACTGATGAAAAATGAAATTAGTAGCATCAAGAAAATATGCAATAGCAAGAACACTAGAACAAACAACTCTGGAAAGTCATAAGAGCTCTGATCAATGAATGCAACAAACATCTATACTTCCAGAGGGTCTAATGGTGAAGTATGCTAGCTACCTCCTAACAGAAAGGTGATACATTCAAGAGTATAGAATGAGACACATTTTTTTGGACACAGCCAACGATGAAATTTGGTCTACTTGACTATATACATTTCTTAGGACTTTTTTTTTTCTTTTTCCTATGGGGTTGAGAGGGGAGCGAGAAAAAATAGGTTTCTATTCATTTTTTTAAATACTTATAAAATATCACAGCTCCTAGATACCTAGGATAGGTACCTAGATAGGCACCTGTAAAATAACCACTCTATCCAACAAGATGATTAATAGATTGAAAGTCCAAAGAGGACAAGACAAATACTGTACTGATAGCTAGCTAAGCTCCTTCTCCTATACCCAATTATGTTATTGGCCTGTACCCACGTCATTCTGAAACACTTTGACATCATTCATCCTCCTTTCATAGCTACTTACATTTATGACCTCAACTTCTTCTCTATCACCTCAACTTGTACAATGGGAAAGCCGTAATTGAGAAGCTTCTCCTTATTGCCAACTTGGGGAAGAGAGGCTGTCAGAGAAGGTAAGATGACTAGAAAATATTGGTTTTTTTAAAGAGGAATTTCATTTCATCTCCCTGTACACTGACCTACTAAGGGCTAACTCCATTCTCCCACTGCAGCTCACGTTGGCCCTGGTCAATATGCAATTGGCTTCAAGCCAGTTTACCAGAGTTTGGACTGGCTCCACACACCCCTAGAAAACCCCCACTCAGCATCTTGTGTGGTCCTAGACTGGATAGAAGAGCTTAATGGAATTTCTCTTTAGTTTAATTGGTCATTTTTTTCATCTAGTGATCTTTTAAATGTTTATTGAAAAGTTTTTTAAGGGAACTAGGCTAGCTATGATCTTTAATGTAGCCATCTTAACAGAAGGCCCTCATCCAGGACTTATTCCTCTCCCTCATCCTTTCCTCCCTGACAATAAATCAGTTGCCAAGTTTTATTGATTTTTCCTCTACAACACCTCTAATATCCATACTTTTCTTTTCACTGGCCCTTACTTCTGATACTGTCTCAATTTCCAAATGCTGGTCCAGTGGATCTTAGTTTCTAGAAGATTCATGGTGCACTCTCTTATATTCACAGCATATGTGCGCTCATTTTCTCCACAGCAGTAGCAAAACACAATTCTGCTTCTTTCACTGTGTTCTGCTGCTGTTCTTGAATTGGGCTACGTCAACCTCTAAAATCAAACATCTTTGTCCTCTGAAAAGAATTATTATACAGTGGCTCAGTAAACAGCAAGTGAGGTTCATAACGCATCTGGAGGTCAACTTGCACTTTGGTATTAATGGCCCACTTGCCTAGAGTCCTAAAGGGCCACTTTTTGTTTTCTCAGAAACCTCTCTTGGTTCATATGCTCTTTCTCCACCTCCCAAGTTGAATGAATCAGTTCTGAGTAGCTGAGGGTGGGGAGTGTTTCCATGCTCGTGCATTTTCAGGTACAATAAGAACATGATGTACCCTGGAGCACTTAATTAATTAATCAATCAATCAACAAGCATTTATTAAGCTATTACTATGTGTCAGGCACTGCACTAAGTAGGGATACAAAGAAAAGATAAAAAGTCTCTGCCTTCCAGGAGCTTACATTCTAATGGGAGACACAATATGTATATAATTAAGTACATACAAGGTATCTACAGAGTAGATAGAAGATAGTCTTAGAGGGGAAGGCATTCCTCAACGCATAAGTTAAAGTTAGCTGAATATGGTCCATGTGCTCCAACAAGTACTAAACACTAGACCATGAACCTCTGTAGCAGCTTCTTTAACCTAACCAAAAAGTCAGAGGCCTTTTACTGCTATCATACTGGCTATCTAGTATCCACAAACAGCAAGTAGCTTAGGGCATTACATCTTCAATTCAAATACAATATTGAGTGGATCACCAGAAGCTAATAATCACCTACATTTTTCTGTATCAATCTCCTGTTTTCCTTGTATAATTTCAAAGTGCATTCCAGATAAGTATTAAAAGTTTCCTCTCCAAGTAATCAGAATGGCCTCTTTGGACCCCACTTAGCAGAACTACTTGAAAGACAACCTGTCCTACTTTCTGAACTAATGTTCATTTTGATGGTGAATCACAGCCCAAAGAGAAGATTAGTAGCCCTAAGGCACTGGCAGATGGTAAGAGTCCCTCTCCTCAGCAAGCTTTCACAGGAACTTCAATCCATCCTTCTCTCATGAGAGCTTTAAGAAAAGTCATCAACTCTTAGTCAGCAGTAAAGGGTTTAATAACTGATTTCCAAGTTCCCCTTTGCCTACTGTCTCCTTTGGGATCTGGAAATGCACCACAGCTCCAGGTAGTTCACAAAGTACAATAACTATGCTGTCTTCTTTCCTGTGTATTTTGCCCAGTACTTTCCACCCCTTCCCCCATAAGAGTTCATAACAAACATAATGTAAGGTTTTTTCCCAATATCCTCATCACCAAAGCTCTTGGGACCCCCAAAGCAAACATCATGAATGAGGGTCAAGTGTCTCCACCAAGAACAAGTTTTCCAATAAGTGGATAGTCACAGTGGCATCATCTCTTCAGTAGAGTAAGCAATGACAGTTCAACACTTCATGCAATGTACTTGAACATAATTATACACTGGTTCCTTAAATTAAGGTGCCTGCATTGCTGATAGACCTCGACCTATGACAAAAAATGCGGCCAAATTATAACTCAGACATTGAAAGAAAAAATAAATCCTTAATGCTTCTAGCATAAACAACTTAAGCAATGTAATTTATTGTTGCATGTCTACTAATGCACAAATGTACACATCAGTTAGCTTAGTCTTCAAAAAATCAAGGGGAAAAAAACTTCACTGGATCCCTGCAGTATCTTTAGTTCAATCCAATACAATCTATAAATCCATACTTATAAGGATCTTGAGAAAAAAAATTCCACAAATATATTCTCTACCAACAGACCAGACAGGAATATTAAACTAAATAGCAAAGCATTTAATTGGAAAAGAAAAGCAAAGAAAATAAGGGAAAATAAAGTAGTAGAATCAATCTCAGCCCCACCCTTCATACACACAAAGGTATACTATCTCAGATTTCCACTCTGGTGGGGAAGGGAATACAAATGGAACTCCAAGATGAGGAAAGTTGCACTATAGCTAGAACACATCTCCTAGTTCTGTCTCCCAGCATATAGCAGTGCTTCTGCTTCTCAGTTCCATATCTCAAAGTCTCCTTAGTGTGCTCCCAGAGTCCCCCATGCTGCTGCCATCCATTCTACATCAGCAGCTGCTCCATCCCTTCCGCACAGCTGTCATATGGCACAGTGCCTTCTTCTCTGCCAAGCTGCTGCTCCCATCTGTGGGCTGTTGGGGCTGCCATTTTCTGCTTCAGCTGCTTATTCTAGTGAGTGGAGGGAGAAAGGAAATAATGTTACTCTTTTGTGAGATTACCTATACCAACAGCATTCAAGGCCTAATCCACACATGTTTAACTTCCTTGTTAGTCAAGCCTTAATTCCTCACACCAGGCAGATGAACAAAAGGATTACAGGTAACTCTCTAGGCCTTTATCTTTCTTCCCTCACACCCTCTCCCCAACAAAGGTCCCCCAGCCTTCATTCCTAGATGGGGTAGGATGAGTATATTCTTTTCAACCCCCATCATGCCCTAACAGCCAACACCCAGGTAATGCAAATTGCACTGAAGCTTTCATAAGCCTCAAGGAGGCACTACGCTAAAAGGGGAGTGATGGAGCTAGCAGTCTTTTCCAAGTATTCCTGCCATCTATGCAAAGGTCCCTATCACTCTTATGTGTGCTTTTCATCAGCTTGTTTTGCCAGTGCAAACATTTAGAATATTTTTCAAATTATTATAAATTTCACTGAGGATGCTTTGCACTGTTCTGGGTCTTCATCTGGAAATGGGGATGTTTGGAGAACCTTGACATCAATAGGGAATCATTATTCCATTTCTCCTCTGAAATGGACATCCTCCATAACATGTGGCAAACACTTGTGTGGGCACATTTAAAAAAAAAGTTTTTTGATCTAGTTCTGTGATTTAATTGGTAGAGAACTCAGTTTGTAAACATCCTTCAATGATTCAGGTCAGCAACTGCTTTGTAATAGGTTTGGAGGGCTGCTTAGGGCTGAAGTTAAGTGACTGATCCCACCATCACACAGCTAGTAAAACTAGAACTGAAGTCATCCTGACTCCAAGACTAGCCTTCTAGTTAATATACCAAAGTGCCTCTCTAAGTGAGTATGTCTCTTTGTTTTATGCCTAACTTGAAGTCTATACTCAGTGGAGCACTATAAAAAGCTAACATTAAAATAATTTTAATATATGTACAGAATACACCAGGTTTAAAAAGAACCTTTATGGCTGTATTGTTTTGCTAATTCAAATATTTTAAGCTTTTTTAAATCAACCAAAAAAAGAAAAAAAGACAGTACACAGCTCTACTAGAACGTAGAAAGTTGTGATCTGCTAAAATGAAAATAATTTTCAAAAGTCTGTATGTTCCTTGCTTGTTTTCATCAAAGAAAAACTCATTATTCACACAGGTCACACTCATAATGACTTTATAGAGATGAGAAAGTAAGAATATAGGTTAGTAGTGTTATCATTTTGGAAGCTTGTTTTGGACAGAACGGGTGAACACACTCTATTTTTACTTTTTTGCAATCTTCCTCTCTGCGATATCTTGAAAATATGTCCCTAAGGGTCTTTAAAATTGTCGTACCTCCCATATTTATTTCTTCTTGCATGTATTTCATCAGATCCAGCCATTCTTCATTTTTCTTAAGCACCACTGTCGTGTTCTCGCATAGTATGCCAGGTAATGAAGTGTTCAGATCAAAAGTAAAAATTCTACTGTCACTGATGAAAACAACACCATATAAACACTGATATGTTTCATTTTATGTGATTGTTATCATCCTGGTTTCACCTATAAATGTTCTCAGTATAAATTAAATCTCATGCTAAGCTCTCTATAAGCTTATTTTTCTTTTCCCTGTAATGTTTTACAAATAAGTCTAGATAGTATTTGTATTTTTGTATTCTAAATCTTAGCTGCCATATATTTGTGCTTGACAAGGAGATTAAATATTTGCCATGTAATGTAGTTTCTGGGTTCTCTTGACCAACCTACTATAACAATAATTTTGCATAAGTTAAATGCATCTATGAAATAATGTTAATTTCTTTACTTTTTTCTTCCTATTTTTAGCAGCAACAGGTTTTTAAAATATATTCAGAATGGAACTGTTGCAATCACAAATAGCATCTTCTCATTTATCATTTACTATTAGTTTTGCTCTAACAAGTCAATGATTTGACTGTTCACAGGCAGCTGATTCTCAAATGACTTGTAACAGCTGTCATTTTCAGGGATTTCTCATGAGGTTGATTAACGTCCACCATGTCAAGAACCTAAAGACTCTTTTCTTGAAAAATTGTTCGTGTGGAGCAGCTAGGTGCCGCAGTGGATAGAACACCACCCCTGGAGTCAGGAGGAATTCAAATCCAGCCTCAGACACATAACACTTATTAGCTGTGTGACTCTTACTTAACTCCAATTGCTTTGCGCCCCCCCCCAAAAGGTTTGTGAAATATTAATAGGTATGACAATTATGACTAGTCTATATGCCTTTGGCCCCTTTCATTTCTTAATATCAATCCATCCATCCCATGTTAGATAAGAGTGGTGGATCTTAAGAAGACCTCATTTCAAATCCTGCCTCAGGTATTTACTACTTGACCAAAGCCTAGTCACATCCTCTCAGCCTCAGTTTTTTTCATCTGCAAAATAGGGATAATAATAATACCCACACTCCCAATGTTGTTGCATAAAGCACTTGGCAAACCCAAAAGTGTCATATGAATATTAGCTATTATTATCTACACACACACAGATTTGGAGGTGTAGTAAAATGTATAACTTAGTAAAACTGTATTGCTCAGTGTCTGAGGTGCAGGAGAAGTGAGTATCTGAATATGCTGATACATCCACTAATTTTTATTTGAAATTAACATAACATGTAGTTTTTGAGATTCACAAACACACACCCTTGCCTGAATAGAAAGCTCAAGTTGGGCAAGAGCATTGTGACTCAGAGAAGCAATTCTATCCTTAGCTATGACTAAGCAAAGGTATCCAACTTCTAACGGCCTTTGAATATATGTCAGTCTAGCTTGGTCCAACAATGGGAAATTATGGATGGATCCACCTAAGGAGCAGAGTTTCATGATGACAGAAAGCAACTTAGTCTGGGGGAAGTAGCCATGAGGTAAGGAGACCCAGATTCAGAAGCATCTGACATAATTAGGAAAATTGGCCAAAGTCTACATAGTATACATAAAAAGAAACTATTCTACTAAGGGATGGACTGGCTGGCAGAGCTGACTTACAGAATCTGCTTTAGGGGAACAGATGTACAGGCAAGGAGAGAAGATGAGAAGTTTTTAGATTAAGTAAGAACATGCAGACTTCCAAGACAGCGAAGAAACTATTAAAGCTTTAAACTGGAGGGAGAGAGAGAGGACAGCTTTAAGACCTAGGTAGAGAAGAGCTTCAGGCAGCCAGGTAGTACAGTGGATAGAGCTGCTGGACTTGAAGTCAGGAAGACTCATCTTTGAGAGTTCAAATCCAGCCTCAGGCAGTTACTAGCTGTGTTACCCTGGGCAAGTCATTTAACCCTATTTGTCTCAGTTCCTCATCTATAAAATAAGCTGGAGAAGGAAATGGCAAACCACTCCAGTATCTTTGCCAAGAAAACCCAAAATGGGCTCACAAAGAGTTAGACACAACTGCACAAAACAAAAAGGGAAGCTGAGAGTTCAGGAAAATAGAACAGGCTTTTCCAAGCCTTGGCCAGTCATTTGGAGGTGAAGTGACCAAAAATGATGGAGCTGAAAGGTCACAGAACAGGCACCCCTGCTTAGCTACCATAATGAGAGCTAGGGGAACAAATTCTGGAGAGCTATAAACAGAGTTCTCATCAGATTTTCCGATGCAATTAAGGCTGATGGTAGCTTAAAACATGAAGAGGGCACTAGTGAGTTAAGACCTCAGTTTGAGGACCCCCCCAAAAAAAAACATAGTCTGCTGCATCTAATGGCACAATATATAATGTTTCCTAACTTGCCTTTGATCTAGAAGTCAAATCTTAGGAAAGGAAAGGCAGAAGTGGGAAGAAGAGGCATAATACTACTTAAGGTACTGATTCAAGATCTCACATCAAGACTCATATATTTAGAGATGGCAGGGACCTTAAAGGCCCATATAACCCAATCCTCTATAGATGAGGAAACTGATAACTTAAACAGGTAACTTAAATGACTTGCCCAAAATCATCCAGTTATGTGAGAAATGGGATTTGAACCTAGGTCTTCCAACTCCTAAGTAAATTATTTTCCCACTGTACCACACTGCCTCTCAAACTCATGTCAATGATGACCACCATGGTACAGTGAAGTGGAAGCCTTGCTCTTACCACTTAACACTTCTGAGCTGTAGGAGGCCTCAACAGGCCTCCGTTTCTCATCCGTTAAGGAAGGTTTGAAAGGGATGACTTTAAATTCCTCTAAATCTGTGAGTCTACAAAAGGATGAGCATCTTTATATTTAATAATCACCTCTATGTTCTAAAACTACCTCCAACCCTCTTATTTAAACTGAAAGCTGGCCATCCAATGAAGGCATATCTGTTCCATGTATGCCCTTGCCACCCTCTCCTGGGAAAGCCAATTCTTCTCAAGCTTTCACAGACTTACAGGGTCTACAGGGCATGCCAAAGCCCTTGTTTCCCCAACCAGGGCCCTCAGGCTATTTTTCTTCTCATCTCAAAATCCCTTATCCCTCATTCTTTTATCCTTTACTCCAGTCTCTGAAGAAGAGGCGTCCCTTCTCTTTGACAAGGCCAATTCTTCTATATGTGCCGTTGATCTGTTTCTTTCTACCTCCTTCAGCAAACAGCAGTGTGTAGCGTGCTGGGCCTGAAATCAAGGAGACCTAAGTAAATGTGACTCAGACACTTACTAGCTGTATGACCCTGGGCAAGTCACTTAAACTGTTTGCCTCAGTTTTCTTAATTGTAAAATGGGAATAATAGCACTTACCTCTCAGGGTTGTTGTGAGGCTCACATGAGACAATATTTATAAAAACTGTCCGGCACACAGTAGGCACTATATAAATGTTTCTTCTCTTCCCTTTCTCCTCTTGTCTAATTTTCAAGCTCTCCCTATCTACTGTTTTCTTCCCTACTGCCTATCTCACCCTTGACTAGGCCCTGCCATTCCTTCAAGCTGTTATAGAGGAAGTATGGAATGATGAATACACCTCTGGACTTTGGGTCAAGAATAACTGTTCAAATCCTGCCCCAGATACTTAAAAACTGTGTGACCCTGAGCAAGTCACTTAACTTCTCTGTACCTCAGTTTCTTAATCTGTAAAACAAGGAAGCTGGGACTGGAAGCCCCCTTCCAGCTCTAAATCCAATTTTCTATAGGATCTTCTTTTCCCTTTCTTAGCTAAATTCCTAGAAAAAGCCATTAATGCCTCTTGCCTCTACTTCTTCTTAGTCTCTTCTCAAACCTTTTCAATTTCTGCTTCTGACTTTATTATTTCCAAGTTAGGAATGCTCTCTTTATTGCCAAACCTACTGGCCTTTTCTTAATCCTCATCCTTCTGTAGGTTTTAACCCTGTTGATTATCCTCAACCTCCTTGCATGACCCTGTTTGTCTCTTGGTTCTCTTAGTCCCCTTTGCTCATCCACACCTACAGTTAGAGGCCATGACATGAGCTCTGTGGGTATACAGGTATGCATCAAGGCCCTGTCCTGGGCTGTCTTCTTTTAAATACACTCTCTCAGTGAACTTCCACTGACAGATGACTCCCAATATATATCCAGCCCATCTCTTTCCTAAATGCCAATTCCATGCATAACCAACACCTATTAAGTTTTTCAAACCAGCTGTCCCATGGGCATCTTAAACTCAGTTTCTCCAAAACAGAATTGTTTTTCCACCAGACCTCATTCTGACATCATTCTACTGATCAAGATTCATCACTTTAGCATCACCCTCACTTGTTCATCCTATATGTTCAATCATTCACCAAATTTTTCCATTTCTCCCTCCACGTCCCTCACATCTATTCCCTTCTCACTAGTCACACAACAACTTTAGTTTAGGCCCTCATCACTTCTTGCCAACTAGATGTCCCTGCCTCAAGCTTCACCCCTCTCTAGCTGTCAAAACAATTTTCCTAAAGCATGTCTGACCATGTAATTTCCCTGCCCAATAAACTTCAGTGGCTCCCTACTGATACTAGAATCAAAAATAAACTCTATTGTTAACAAAGAAAAACAACTTTGAAAGATTTAGACTCTGATAAACACAATGGAACCAATCACAGTTTCAGAGGACTCATGATGAAACATTCACCTGCAGAAAGAAAGGTGGTGGATACTGAGAGTTTGAAGACATTATATGCTTTTTTTTTCTTTTTTGGACATGGTTAATGTGGCAATTTGTTTTGCTTGACTATACATATTTCTAACTGGTTTTGTTTTTCTTACTTTCTCAAATGGATAGGGGAGGACACAGTGAGAGGGCGAGAATTTGGAAATGAAAATAAAAATTTTTAAAACCTCTTGTTTGGCTTTTAAAATCTTTTATAACTTGGGCTCAAATACAGTCTCATTATACATTACTACCCTTCCAACACTCTATGTATGTTCTACTCAAATTGGCCTTCTTGCTTCTTCCCCTACACGTCATCTCTAATCTCCATGACTTAGCATAGGATCTCTCCTACATGGAAAATGTACTCCTTCCTTACTTCCACTCATAGAATCCCTTACTTCATTCAGGATTTAACTCAAGTACCACCTTCTAGAAAAAGCTTTTCCTCATACCCTCCAACTGCTGGTGCCCTCCCTCACTATCTTGTATTTATTCTGCATATGCTTATTATATTTCTAAGTTTTGTCTCCCCTGATAAAATCTAAGCTCCTTGAGAAAAGATTATTTCATTCTTTATATTTTGTATCTCAAGTTTCTAACTTTGCATTTAATAAATGATGGGTGATTGAATAAAAAACTATTTAGAAGTTTAAACCAGGCCCCAAATGAGCATACTACATAGCTTCAAGTCCAACTTTGCCTGTGACAAGCACTTTCCTAAAACCTTTATTTTTTTTTTGCTTTTTTTAGGCAATTGGGGTTATGTGACTTGCCCAGGGTCACACCGCTAGTTAAGTGTCAAGTGTTTGGTCTGAGGCCGAATTTGAACTCAGGTCCTCCTGACTTCAGGGCCGGTGCTCTATCCACTGCGCCACCTAGCTGCCCCTCCTAAAACCTTTAGTAAATCTAAGTGGGCATAAACACCCATTATACAGAATGCCCAAAATGCATTAAGAAGTAGGGCATCACTTGAGTGGTAAAAGAAAATATTCAAAATATTGGAATAATCTCATCTAAACATCAGACCCACTATTAAAAGCTACTGACAATCACTCATTTTTCACTGCAACAATAGGTCCCTACATGTTATTTCTTACTCATTTCTCACTACACATAGAATTAAAGCAAAAACTGGCATCCTTGAGACCCAAGGCAAAGAGAAGAAAGTAGTGACACTCCTATTCATAAAAAGTAGCATTCAAGTACCCAGTCTGAAAAACCTGTCTTCCACATTGTTTTAATTTGATTACCATCTTTCAGCCACATAGTTTAGACTTAAACTCATTTCACCGGCATTATAACTGAGTTCCAGCTGGTTTGGTTCATATCAAAAAGCAAAGTCGGTGTTGAGCCTACAGAAAACTTTCCAATATTGTCTCTCATTTGAAAAGCTACAATTGTATTGCTCATGTTACTTTTAAATCTAAAGAAATAGTCTGTCAAGCATCAAGTAAAAGACCCTGTCCTACAAGGAAGTAAACCTTCTACCTATTAATTTTGTTTGGACCCAGAAGACATAGTGAAAAAAATATTGTGGTAAAGAGCCCTGTGCAAAACTTAACGACTTAAGACTTAAAGACTTAACTCTTTTTAGAAAAGAGAACAATTACATTATGATATAAAACAACAATTACTTTATGATATAAAATAGAAATCAAGTTAAATTCACCTTCACCTTCAAATATGTAAAATGAAAATGAAAAAATCTATTAGTATACTATAAATTGTAAGTTGTGCAATATTATTAGATTTCATTTTAAATATCATTTAAGTACAAATATTAGTTCAAAATCCCTGGAGCTAACTTGTCCCAATTCTTTTTAAAATTTTAAGAGAGGAACTCTTCATACAATGAGTCTGACTACTGTTCTAACCCACTGGATTTGTAAATTACAAACTAATAATATATTTTAATGTTTAAAATTAAGAACAGGGGAAAACTGATTAGCTGAACTATGAAAAAGGAAGTTTAACTAAATGATGGTATCTTTAAGGATTTATCCTCAGTTACTACACATATTACATAAACAATTAGTGAAAATTTTTACAGAGAAAGAAAGCAACACAAGTACCTTCAAGCAAGTTGCACTTGTTAGATAAATTTCTGTTAGGGCAAATAATCTCTGCCACAAAAGTGCCCAGTAAAATAGCATATTTGAATAAAGTTCCAGAGAGGTTAGAGAATAACATGACAGTTATCTTCGACTGATGGAGGTGCAGCTTGGAGGTGAGAGTAGGGAGAAGAAAGTCACTGATAAAACTGAAAGGAACTTTAAGTGTAACCACTTTTGAACGGTCAGGAAAAAAAACCCGAAGAGCCACCATTTTGGTCTCAAAGGCCCTTTACAGTTAAGCAGTTACAGTACATTTAACCCTAAAAACTGAAGACCAACAGCTTTTTCCACCCTTCTGATGCAAAATTCAGTAGTCCACACAGTATTTCCACACATACACAAAAAAAAAATCCTTAAAATTGTCGTGTAAGCAAACCAAAGGAAATAAATTGCTACAAAACACTCCATTGTTCTTCGATGAAATTTTTCAAGTGTCTGACTTTTAAGAATGAGTTTTTTCTAACTGAAAAAAAAATCAACTGAAACAGTGCTTAAAGTATGAAAGGTCAGTCACGTTTCACAGCATAATTGTCGCAATAACTTATATACTGCATTGCCAAGTCACAATTCAGCCATTTCATTAACAGTGTACAAACAAAGTCCTTGATTATATTTATAGTATAAAGTCTGCTGTAGATATTTTAAAAACTGGTTTATACCCCAAACTCCAATATTATGTCTCCGTTTTCCGGGTTATTTTAACATGAATAATCTTAACGACGCAGAGGTTCAAGTTTTCGTAACTTCACTGTAGATCTCGACAACAAAGCATCTTGGTTGGAAGAATACACCATATCTGAGGATCGGAACAATACTCTACCGCGATGATTAAATACATAAAAGGACGGGTGGTTCCTTAACGTGTCAAGTGTCTTATTTTTCAGTTCTGAAGTAGCATCCATGTCTTTAAATTCCCCTGCAAGATGGACTATACCGTAACAGGTAACTGCAAAGGCTATCAGCGTCTGTAGGACGATATCGATGGGCAGATCTTCATCTTCCTTTTCCGTCAGGCGCATATAGGAACGGTGTTGCGCAGCAGAGAAGGCAGCGTGGGCCAGCGCGAAGAGGCCCAGCCCCACCAGCCCTTTCCACAGAGAAGTCGCCATGACTCCCAAGGAGCGGAGGGAACAGCTACGGCAACTACGACGGTGACTGCGACGGCTACGCAGCTCCTCCTACGCCGCGGCTTGTGGCGCTAGCGGCGCTGGGTGATGGCGTCACGACCCTCGACGAATGGGAAAGGCGGAAGGGGAGAGAGACGAAGAGAGGGCGGGGGAAAGGACCGGAAGGAAGAGGGAACAGAGGAAGAGGGAAGGGGAAAGGCACGCCTCGGGGAAAGGACACGAGATTTTAAGGAGGTCTCGCGGGTTCCTGTTGGACCCCGTGAGGAAAGAAAAGAGCCAGATAGCCTTTTTTTCTTTTTTTCCCCCAATCGTCGTCCTCCTAGTGCTCTGCGGCACGTAACGTTTGAGGCAAACTTACGTCGTGACTTCTGACTTGTCCTGATTGTCCGACGCTGTGGAAAGGGCGTTGACTTGTGTGTCACGGGCCCAGAATCCTGACTCAATTTCGTCATCTTATGTGTAAAATAACTAAATGGCGACGATAATAATAAACAATATCTGGCATCTACATATCGCTCTTGAAGTCCCCTTTTAACTCTGAACCTTAATGCCACACTTCGTTTTTCCAGCTTCCTTGGCCCTGTTTTATCTTCCCGATACCTCTCCCAGGTTTCTCTCCATGGCCATTTTCACTTTGTCTTTGCAATTTTATTCACTGCTATCGTTTCAAAAATTATCTCCATCAAAATGACTCCCCAGCTTAACTAAAACTTGTGTATAAAATTTAAAAACGTGTGTATATCAGAATTATGATCTTAAAATATTGTGTATCTTAAATTATTGTAAATGTAGCATCTCAAAATATTGTAAATATATAATCTCAAAATGTATATATGTTTATATATAAATATTGTGTATATGTGTATACATGTATATATCGTTTTGAAGGAGATAATGTTTGAAACCTTAAGAGTGAATAAAATTGCCGAGGGAAATTGTGCAAAGAGCCATGGAAGAAACCTGGGAGATGACTGGATAGCTATGTAAATTGGATAGATGGACAGATAGATAATGTAGATAATGTAGAGGGGATGAATCTTCATATCCTGCTGATATCGCAAATTCAACATCTTGCTACTTACTATCTTTCCCTCTAAATTTACTGTTCCTCTTGGACTTCAGGATTTGTCAGTGGCAACACCATTCACTCATTCTCCCAAGTACAAAATTTTGACTTCCTTCTTCTCCCATCCAATTACCAAGCCCTGCTAACTCTATCTCTACAATATCTTATGCATCATTCTCTATATTTGCACCATAATACTCCTAAGAGGTCCTCCTTAACATCTTGGATTATTGCAGCAGTCCCCTAACAAGTCTTTCTGCCTCTTTTCTCTGTCTCCTCTCGGCCTTCCTTTTTTTTTTTACTTTCTTTTGGGGGGGGGTGATAAATTTCATCCTTTTTAAAAAGTATTTTTTAATTTTAAATTTTTAAAAATTCTTTTTAATTAAATGTTTTAAATTTTTTTACATTGCTAGCTGTCCCAAGGACTCTCTCCACCCACCAACTCACATGTTTAGAACTGTCCCCCCACAACAAAGAAGTACAGCTGAGCAAAATACATACTTTGGCTACCTATGACAAGATAGGTATTATTTGACACCTAGTCTATCCCTTTTCTACCAAGAGGAAAGAGATACACACCTTTCCATTAAATTTTTCCTTTAAAATATGGTAGGAATTGTGTAAGCAGGGGTACCCAACCCACCAAAACTCTAGGGAATATGTTGGGGAGTCCTTATTTTTATTTTTTTTAAATCAATAGTCATCCCTTCTTCCTCTTTATCTTCTGCTTCACAAAATGGCCTAATATTCCTATAATCTCAGCCCTCTGGTAGATAAACTGGAATGGATTTTGTAGATTAAGTTTGGGTTAATACTAAGGAGCAGCTGCATTTGTCTTTTTTGAAGCTAAAACATACCTTCTTTAATCCCCTGGGTACATGTATACCCCAGGTTGGAGATCCCTGATTTATATAATAACACTGCTCATCTTGACAGAATGCTAGGTTCAATAACAGAAAAATCCTCTCCCTTATTCTAAAGTAAATAATTGAAAAGAAAAGAATAGCATATTTGTAGGAAAATACTAAAAAGAAAAAGGGACATGCTAATATCTTTTTTTCTTCCCTATTTTGTTTTGACATATGATGCTCTTTGAAGACTTTTTGTTAAGTTTGGACCAAATACAGACACATGTCTTTGCAAACTGCTTTAGATTAAATGGCCTTAATCTCATGACAACCTTAACAATTGGGGTCAGCACTAATTAGCCTTTGCTAAAAAGCAAAGTCCTTAGATTCTGAAAATGCTTTCCAGGCCACGAGTGAAGGATTTAGAGAATGCTAAAGGACACTGAACTGAACTTGGAAGGTGATATTACCTTGATTTTTTTAACCATACCTATATTTCATAGGTATAAAGATCTCCAGATGAAAATCTTCTTCTACCAATACACATCAGCACCTTCTCTGCAATTTATAGTCTTAGAGTTGCTTAGTGGTACTGAGAAAGGTCAATGATTTGCCCTTGGACATGATAATCAGTAAAAGTCAGAAGTGAGACTTAAACCCTGATCTTCCTAATTCAGAGGTCACCTTTCTGTACACTATGCCACCTCACCTCTCATTTAAAAATAAAGGAAATTAGTTTCCTTAAAAATGATTGATGTGGCTTCAGTAGATGAGGAAAAAAATATTTTTGTCCCAAAGTAGTAGAGTAGATACAGCCCTGGACCTGAGTCAAGACCTAAGTTCAAATGTAGCCCCAGACACTTACTAGCTGTGTGGCTCTGGGTATATCACTTAACCTCTGTTTGCCTCAGCTTACTCAACTGTAAAATGGCAATAACAGCACCTCCCTCGAAGGGTTGTGAGGATTAATGATATTTCCCTTTCCCTCTTCCCCAAAATGCCAAAGCCCTCTTTCAGGCCGAATGCCTTGGGATCTCGGGTTGGATAAGTGATACTTTTTTGCCAATGTAGATCATCATGATATAAAATTTTGATTCTTCTTTCAGCAGAGCTTTGGAGGGTAAAGAATGAAATTCTTCTAGAATTCGTAGGGGATGTAGGCAGAGAAGAGAAAAAGATGCTATGGTTAGAATTTGAGCAGTCTACTTTCTACCTGCAGAGGGCAGTCAAAAGACAGAAATGATGCTGCATTTACCATTTGCTCTATAAAAATGAGGGAAACAGCAGCTGTTTCCCACTTCCTTTCATCAAAAACACCTTAAAGCTGATTCCAAATTAGGAGTGTTTTGAGTTAAGCATGAAGATGACAGTCCCCCGCACACACATACACACCTTAAAACTTTCAAAAATACCCAGGAAAGTGGATACCCCTTGAGGCAGAGAGTAAACCATAACCTAAAAGGGAAATTTAATAAGAGCCAAGCACAGAGCAGACACTTAATGTTTATTGAATTTAACTAAATGAGACTATCACAGAGTGGTGTGGTTAGTTTAAGAGCTAAGCCACATACCTCACAGATTTTTAGTACTAATTTAATTGAAGAAAAGTCACTCTTCTTTTGGGCCTTGTTACTTCATCTCTAAAATGAGGTGATTGAATTAGATGATCTCTAGGATCTTTTTGAATCTGTAAGAAGTACTTTTTAACCCATTTCCTCATTTTAAAATCACAATAGCCAAAGAGATCTTTATCACATTTGGGGTAAAAAAATACCAGACCTTATCAACTGAGAAAAAGTTGGCTTCATCATTTACACAGAGCTGACAGGTTTGATCACCCTAGTGCATTTCTGAGTAGAATCCTGTTTATGCCCAAGAACTTAAGATAACCACCTAAAATTGTTTTGTTTTGTTTGGTTTTTTGCTCAATATGAAGCAACAGCATGATATGGCAGCCAAGAAAGCTAATGCAATCTCAGGCTGCATTAAGACAAAGCAATCAGAACTACAGAGATAACAATAGTTCTGTGTTGGAGAGGCAAAGACAGAAGAGACTTCTGGAGTTCATAGGGAATTCTGGTGGGGAAAAGAATGAGATGCTATGCCATGATCACCATGCCATGATCAGACCATACCTGGAGTATCATGTTCAGTTCTGAGGACCACATTTTAGGAAAGGCATTGTAACCTGAAAAATGGCTAGACAAGGGGAACCAGGATGATGATGTGTCTAGAGTTCATATCATGTAAAAATCTGCTAAAAGAACCGGGGATATTCAGCCTGCAGAAGAGGAGATGTTAATGCCTCAATGTCAGTATGGCAGGAAGTCTCTAGTAGATGTTACTAAGCTTGCCCTGTGCTGTTTAACATTTTTATCAATCACTTGGATAAAAGCATAGGCAGCATACAGATTACACAAAGATTAAAGGGATAGTTAACAGGAGATAACACAATTGATCCAAAAGGATCTTGACAGGCTAAACCATTGAGGTGAATTAATAATATATGAATTTCAATAGAGATAAATTTAAAGTCTTAAACATAGATACAAAAAATCAACTTCACAAGTATAAGATGAGAGAGTCACATGTAGATAGCAGTTACTCTGAAAAAGATTTGGGGGCTTTAGTGGACTGCAAGCTCAATATGAATGAGTAGTGTGATGTAGATGCCAAAAAAGCTAATCTTACAATGTATTGAGGGCACACAGATCCCAGGAACAAGGGGGTGACAGTCTTCCTGAACTGTGCTATATACTTCTCATCTGAAGTATCGTGGTCATTTCTAGGAAACAGTTTAAGAAAGGCATTGTATAGGTTGAAGAGCTTGCAGAGGAGGGCAGCCAGGATGGTGAAGGGCCTTGAGTCTGTCATTGGTTGAAAGAATTGGGCATGTTTAGTCTGAAGAAAATAAGATTCGTTTGAAGGGCTGTCATGTAGAGGAGGAATCTGATTTGTTACATTTGGCTTCAGAGGGCTAAAACTGGAACAGTGTGAGAAGTTGCAGAGAGGCAAATTTAGGCTTAATGTTAGGAAAAATTTCACAATTATGGCTGTCCCAAAGTGAAATGACCTGCCTAGAAAAGGTGTGGATTCCCTTCCCTCAGAGATCTTCTAGTAGATGCTAGAAGATTGGGGTTTTTTGGTATGTCA